TTTGATAGTTTAGGCACCACTCAATTAGTGAATGCAGTCACAAGGCCTTCATCGAACGCTATTTTAGATTCGTTTGGTACCAGTAATCTGTCTTTAGTGAAAACTGTTTCTGTGTCACCGCCACTAATTCGCTCTTGCGATCATTGTGTTTTACATTTACGGCAGAACAGAAAAAGTGAAAAGCTTAAATTTTAAATGTTAAAAGCGTTTTTATTTGGAACCAATGTGATATTCGGAATCTACGAGAAAACCGACATCGAATGATATATAACTCGACGCATTGTAGAAAAAAACGTTTTCATCCTAAATTTTAGGAAAAACACCTGATGAGGGAACCTTCCGATGTGATACCTCGCTTTTTGATCGAAAGCAAGTGGGGCAGATGGGGAAAGTTGTGAAAAAGAAAAAGATCGACAGTATCAAAACTGCATTATTTGTCTTTTACATTAAATCGATGCGAGTAATATTAAAACGGACGATGAAAAGATCTTTTTCTTAAAAAAGTTCTAATTCAGTTTTGTAGAGAAAAATGTTATGCTTACGTCATTAGGGGAGTCAAAACAAACAAAAAAATTTCTTAAGTAATACCTGAATGATCGGAACCGCAGGCAAAAAAAAAGAAGGGAAATTTTTTGTCTGTATTCCAGGTCAAACTTGGGTGAATAACGTTTTTCAACATGCACAATCCGAATATCGCTGTCTCCGGCTTGAATCGCGACTAATAAAAGTAGATAGTTTTTATATGAAAATGTGCGATATTTTAGATGGACTTAACCTGGCTGATATGTCGTTCTCAACAAAACTAAAGTCAATGGAAGGAGCGAATCGTAGATGCTACTTGTCGTTTTATTATTTTAACTACACCTCTTTTTTAAAGAATATTGTAATGCCTCGGTGTTATAGCCTAAGTGTTGTTCTCAATCTGATCAAAAAATAAAGTTTATAAGAACTATTAATAAGAGCATACTGCAATGTCTCAGGACGCAGGACGATCACTGATTACTTATATCTAAATGATTTGAGAAAGTATGGAAGCTCAATTTTTATCAGATTTGAGGTTTAGTAGGAATTTTGTTTTTTAAAAGGTCAAGAATTGTCATTTTCTCTTGTTTTTATTATCTAAAACATGTTTAGTCATTATATCATACGGTAAAGGATGACTGGCTTCAGATTATTTATTGTTCTTGCATATTCACTAACAAATATGTCGAAATTATTTCTAGTAACAAAACATTTCGTCTATTGTTCAGGTTGAAAAACGTTCAAGAAGAACGTTTAATCGATCGAAATCGTTTAGATGTTGTTAGAATTCTTGTCAAAAAAAGTGAAGTGACATTGTACATGCCCCATGCGCTTAGTAATAGTTTGAATATTATTTTGTACTTGTTTTAAATCCCGATGAGTCTTTGGCAGTATTGTATCATAAATATGTAAAGCTTTACAATAAATTTCCAAAGCTAACTTATTATTTCCAACTCTTTCATATAAACAAGCTAAATTATAATAAGTTTGTCCTATTTGCATATGATATTCTGGTAATGTTTGAATTTGTATTTCTAATGCTTTACACAATCCATGGTCAAACAACTGTCTGGTCAAAGTATGAAGGTAAACTATTGTGTGGTTCTGGAAATTCATTGAGGACGAGCACTCACGATTGAAACATACGTAGAAGAGCGAGGGTGAGGAACTATGGGTCGCTCTTTCTACTACAGAATCTGCATTCAATGCGCATCATGGTTATGAAAAAATAATCATAGAAACCTATGGTTTCGAAAAACGTAGGTGAAAACTTTTGTCAGGAAGATTACACATCCAGCTCTGACCTTCGCCATTTCACTTATTTTGCGCCCTTTTTACTTCCCTTCTATTTTTCTTGGAAAGGACCTCATATCTCAGAACCTCATTTTCAGGGACCTTGCCCGTAAAATAGCTGTATTTCACTGACTACTAACAGCCAACTCACAAAATATTATATTGTACAGTCGTGGTTACATTTTAGTAAAAAGAAAAAGTTTTCATTTCTCTTAGGTCAGGAGCTATTGATATTTTAAGAAAAAGACATAAATCGCTTATATCTCACGAACCATCCAGTAAGAGAGGCCCAAACTTGGTGGATGATCAGCATTTGGCAAGAGCTATGACAACACAAATTTAGAAGTCCCTAGCTGTCATGGTTCTTGAGCTACAGGGGGGGGGGACACTACTTTTGACAAGTACTGTATTTATGCAGCTACATAAATGCCTAGGACTTAGTTTATTCAGTACAAATGCTCACAGATGAGTACACTCTTTACGAAGAATGTGTGCTCTTTAAAGTACGGTATCTCGTACTGATAGTTTACTTGTGCTTCTATTATTTCAGCATGAATTGGCTTCAAAGCACAATGTCGATTAGATAAACTGCTTGTCAATACATACAAAAAAATAGATATCGCTTACTTACTTCAGAATGACAAATCCGTCTTCGCAGAACCGCTGCAAAAAACTTATTTTAGCAATGAAGATTACATAGATATCCAAGTATCATTATCTAGATAATGCAACGCCTAGCAGACAACGATATGTTATTGTACATGTTGTTATATGGGGAATAAAGAATGAGATTAAAAATAGGGGAAATAAGAAAATAAGGATTTCAGAAAATAAGCATAGTAAGAAAACAGATCTGTGTTAACTAACACTTTGAATTTATAACATAAGTTGTTATTACGAATTATTCTCAGTTTTTTTAACAACTCCTGGAGGGCGGCGGCGATATGGCAGCATGAGAGATTAAAACTCTAGATTTGGCCTGGACTGAAATCCTTTAATCATTGATTCCTATTTCCTATTTCCTTAGATCCTTATTTTCTATTTCCGCTATTTCCTTTAACCCTTATTTGCCCTGTTTCCTTAGATCCTTATCATAGCTTGAAAATACACAGTCGCCGAGAATTTGATTTTTAAAAAATGAATTCGTATTCGCTGGGAATTCATTTCGGTATGCAATGGATGATCATAATGCGTTTTGATGTATATAGTGTGCTTGCGAATTCTCGATTATTTTCTGAGTGGCTCAGGCCACCGTATAGATTTCTTATGATTTTTAATTATACGTATTCAAACAGTCAGATGCTGATAGTTCCTAAATCTTTTATTTATGTATTTCAGCTAGGTTTTCTATGCCCGCATATTTTCGAAGAGTTTATTCAATCCATATCGTTTTAAACATATCCCTCACCTTCGACACGAAGTGTCGAAGTGGAGGTGTCGGGGGGTGGAGGTGCCATGAGAGTGAGTCACGATCGTTACCTGACCTGGATGGTGACCTGCACTACTATCCGTTTGGAAATACAAGGTACTCGGTTGTTTTCTGAATAACATTTGTTAGAAAAGAGATAAAAACTTGCGGGTTTGCCAACTCAGCAGTCAAACTCATTTCACTTTTTATAGGAAATTGAACGTTGTTACGTTAGTCAGGAGCACCGATTATCTATGTATTCTGTGATTCTGAGAATGTCAGACCAAAAGAAAGTCCAATCCGGGTGGTTCGGGAAAAACCGTGTCGTCTGAAAAACTAATCCAGACTAAAAAGTCGCTTGGATCTCATTCTGTAGAAGACACTTCGGGCTATCTGTCTATGTAAAATAATCAATAGATTGCTACTTTCATTTTGGGAAACCCGAGCCGGTTTTCCGAGGATCTGATGGAAAACCGGCCTTTGAAATTTTTGCAAAACTAGTTTTTCCTTGCAAAAGCATGTCTTAAAGCGGCAGATATATAATGCTGAAAACCGCAGGTTATTGTGTCTTTTCTAACAAAAGAGTTCTTTCTAAAACAACCTAGTATTTTGTAACGGATAGTAGCCAGAAAATAACAGAGAATTCGCAATCGATTCTGGCTTGAACCAGTCAGGGAAAAAAATAAACATTGTGAGTTTATATACGGGCTATAGCCAGTATGAACCCTAGTTACATTCGCGCTTAATTTTTGTCGCGATCATGCCGCGCCCGTGAAGTCTGCGCGTTCCGCGAAAAATTGGCGATCACGCAGCGAAAATTCTTCCGCTCGAAGTAACGTCGCATTCGCGGTTTAGATTATGTCGCGATCGCGGTTCAGATCAGATCGTATTTGCGTTTCTGGCTTGGACCGCGTCGCGTTCGCGATTCAGATAAAACATTTATGTGCGTTTATATGAAGCATGCAGGTTCCTTCGTTTGAAGAAAAATCTTATAAAAGTGCGGTACTCTCTAAAAAAAAAGGTACTCTACCGAACCTAAAAAGGGTTTAAACATTTGTCACCATCTATATACCTTTTTAAGGTTTCGTACAAACAAACTTTTCAAGTTACTTTATTACTTTTTTGATTGCTTTTTCTACTTGTGAATGTTTTTTCCTTTGAAATGAGACTAATAAACATCAGCAGACAGACATGTAAATAGAATAAAAGATTTAAAACAAATACTAGTGCTTTTAAGCACTGAGTTAAGAGAAAGGAAAGAACTTAATAAAGCAAAACAAGTGAAGAACACAAAAAGGAAATATACGTTCTTCGCAATCTTACTCTCATTCTTATCGCTTGAAACTGCAGCGTAGCAAGATATTTAGTTATGCCAATAAAGATGAATACATGAACATAAAAATATGCAAGTTCAAGAAGTTTATGAAAAACCAAATTAACACAGTAATCTTTTAGCCAAACGTTCGCTTTTTTTCGGTTGAATTATATAAGCTGTTGTTGTTTGACGTGGTCTTTTACGTGTTGGTCTCTGCAAGATTTGTTTATTTTCTTTATCATAATTTGGTGATGAAATCTGGTTGTGTCTCTGCTCACTTTGCGTAGTTATCGTTGTTTCTTTAATCGATTTATCATACGGTGCTGGTAGACTTGGTTGAGATAGATTGTCATCTAATGATTCCTGTGCTAGATTGTCTTGCATTGTTTGTTCTTCAAAGAAATCATCTAACGCTGCAAAATTGATTCAACTGTGTTATCATTTGTTGGTGATTCTCTATTCGCGTTCGTTGTTGTTTCTACTAATGAATTTACATCATTTTGTTTTGTCTCTCCAATTGTTGTTTCCTGTATTTGAGAACGTACTGATATCAACGCTGCAATATTTTACCGTATTAATGAAAGCTATACGAATGATATAGTGGGATTAAAAAAGCTAATCGGTGAGGTTTTTTAGTTTGTTCTCACTCGAAAAATGATCATGGTAACTCACATGGCAACTCCATTGTCATTCTTTCTTGCATGGAGAAGGTTTTTGTTGGATTAGGATTTTGTTGTTATAGAATAGTTCCAGTTCTTTAGTGTTGTTCGCCAAGCTTTTGTTAATGCAGCTGGATCTTTGAAAAATACTCCATGTAATAAGTGAACAGTCCTGTTATGGCGCCCAAATTCTAATTCAAATATGTTATATAAACCAATTAAAATAGCCATGGCTTGTTCGCACGATGGAGTCTGACACATAAGTTCCCAATCCAAAAATACTTGAAATGAATTTTCTGTTATTTTCATACAAGGACGTGGAGAAACCAATTCCGGAAGGAAAAAAATTATTAGATTTAGAAATTATTATAGAAGACAAATTCTTTCTTCGTCAATCTTTTTTGTTATTTTTATCTAGCCTAAGGCGAGATTTAGTGGGAATTTGTAATATCAGTCAACCGCGAACAAAATACGTTATGACGTATACATACTTTTTCAGTTACTGTATGAAGACATGTTTCATTGAAATACTTAGATAACAGTTTGACCCTACGAATTGGTAATAAATCTGGTAATCAAATAAAAGTAAGCAGTAATTTATTACTCTCTGAACAAGTGATATCTTACCGGCTACAAAGTTTGTTGCAATGGGCATTTGATTAAGTAAATCTGGTGACAACGAACACTTTTCGATGTGTGAGAGAGAAATCCGCTCATCCGAGACACATTATTGAAAACATATCTACTACACTGGCACATCGAGGCAAACGTATATGTTCAGATGTTACAGAAAAATGGAAGCATATGCAGAAATCTTTCTACGCCTATTGAAACGTGGCCATAACGGAAATTTAGTTTTATCGAAAATCAGAAAAGGTGATCGGCTAAACCGAGAACGTTTACTGAAAATACAATTATTATTTGAGATATTCCGTGGATCCCGTTGCCTGTTACTGGTAACGGCAAGTAACGGGTAACACACTTCCATTTTCTGTTACCGGTAACAGCTAACGCATTTTCGTTACCGTTAGTGGTAATAGGTAATGGAGTTCCGTTGCCGGTTACAATAACGATAACGGGAAAGTGCCATCCCTAGTTCTTATAACGTTTTAGGCAAGCTGCGTAGTTCTACTCAGTTTGTTGGTTCTCAGTCTAAATCTTAGAAATAAAGAAAACGTTGGTTTCAATAGGGGCTAGTTTTATTCTCAGTAGTACCACTTTTTTCGTAAGCTGCTTGTTGCAGTGTTTCATCCCTTTATTCTCGCCATATACCCGCCAGATTATGTTAACATAAAGAGATAAAAGGTTTAGAAACCAACATCCACATGAGAAATTTTAATATGTGTCAATCTGACCATCGGCTATTTGTAGTCTATTTGTAGTCGTGGAGGTAGTGGTACGTGGATCACATAATTCATCCTGATTGTCCTTTCTAACATAGCAAGTGCAAAGCAGCTAAGTGCTTTTAAAATAAGTAATAACACTAATGATTCGTTGTTGGAGGTCTACCTCTTCTGTACATATTGCGAATACGTTCTATTTACGGCGGCAAACCTGCTAACAATGTACATATCGCTCAATCGGTACATGCACATATTCCACATAGCCATCCACTACATCTGGTAGGTCCTTGTTTTCCACTATCCGAATCAATTCGACGTCACACAAGAAAATTCAGGTACGCCACACTACGTTCTCATTAGCCCTTACAGTACATATGGTACAGTCTTAAATACTTTTGTACCTGTGGTGATGCTGTTCTTCAATGCACTGATGAAAAGACGAGTTTTAGCGACTGCTGCAGCTTCTTTAGTAGCAGCGGCAACAGCTGCTATTACTACTGCATCGAATCACAGCAGCCGGCAGTAGCGAAAGAACGCTACTGATCCGAAAGCAGCTTATGATCATTCAGTTGAATTGGATCTGTGTTGTGAGAGCAATACGATTTGTTGCAGACTCGATTGCGACGGGGCAGATGTACATTAATGAAAACCCGTTCGCATCAGCCAGTTGCAAGTACTGAAAGACAGGGAGGAATTCTCAGCGATAGTGACGAAAAGATCGATTGGATTGAGGAACGCATTGACACTACTAAACTGTTATAAATGTTCTCTCTTTAAAAATTGCAATTAAAAACCCGCTTCTTTACAATGTTTTCGTAAAGTTAGCGCTTCTCACCCAAAAGTCTCTGTTCTGAAGGAAAAGTAAAGAGGACAGATATTTGAAAGACACTGTTCCCATGATGACGAGATAATAGACAACATGCCATGATGTCTAGAGACTTTTCGATCATAGGTGATTGGACAAAAAAAGATTTGACTGCGTATAGCCGGCCAACAAAAACATGATCGAAGAACACAATTAAAGTTGATTTTGTTGGAGTATAGAGATTTCACTACGATCACCCTCAAATTACAGTAGAGGGAATAAGAAAGTTTTTTATTCCCCTCGCGACAATCTCTTCCACTTTAAACCTTAAATTCTCACCATTAATCGCATAAAAACAGACTTCAAGGTCGAGAGAGCAAGTGCTTTTAAATAATATTAATCACTTAGAAACTTTAAGATTACGCGAAACTGATTGTTAAGCAAACAATGATTAATTACTTAAAACTATTTGTCTATTGACTTTTGATATGAAGAAGAAAGCACAAACTGCTTTGGTATATAAAATCATTTCTTTGCTCTTAAAAATTATTAAACTTTTTCTGTTAATCGACTGAAAAAACTATTTCATGTATGAGAAATGTGAGTTACTTCCATTTTTGTGCTACATCCTTCGACTTCCTCGCTTTCATTTTCATTTAGGGTTGATGCTTGTGCTGCTCTCTCTCTTGGATTCAAATATTCGGTGTAGTTGTCAAGCTACGAATGATTCAGTTCAGGAAGTCAGTTGCAGTTTTGAGTTAGATTTTTGTCAGTGGAATCACGATCTAACTGCAGATTTGAATTGGGTTCGGCATAACGGGTCAACCCCTTCCGCGGACACAGGTCCACAGTCCGGTAAGAAAGGAGTGTATAGACGAGAGTCTAAGCATGTTCGACACAAAGAAATTCCCACATTTCAGGTGCTAATGGTTCCCTGTATTATATTTATATGGAAGCTAGCCTTCCTGCGGAGAAAGGTCAGCGAGCAGGCCTAGTTTCACCTTTAATTTCAAGACCAGTGGCAGTACAGTGTTTCTCCTTTTACTATCACATGTAAGTTATCAGAGCCTGCATTTAGTCTACTGACTGTGTGTATCGTTCTCCAGGTATGGAGAAAGTGTCGGCACCTTACGAGTGTCGATGATTGAGAATACGACCGAACCTGCAACTGAACTAGTTCTTTTCGAACAAACTGGAAGTCATGCAAACGAATGGTTAAGCGAACAAATTAATTTGTTCTCGAATATGACAGCGGGTGAATTTTATTTTAGAATCGACGCCTATGTCGGAGATTCCGTTTTAGGTGGTGAGTAGTGAGTAAACAAGTCATAAATAAGACTTGTAAACAGGTCTCTTATTCAACGATCCAGCTCTTTTTTTTCCTGCAGATATTGCTGTTGATGAATTAAGACTGTCTGACGGAGAATGTCCTGAGATAATACCTGAGATACATAATGGCAATTGTAGTTTTGAGCGGAACCTTTGTGACTGGACACATGATCCAACTGCACAGTTTTCCTGGACTCGTCAATATGGTGAAACGCATAGCTTTGAAACAGGTCCAGTGACAGGTAAAAGAACAGAAGGTGTCTCGGTCGTCGTATAATATAATGACTTTTTTTTAGGTGCTGATAATTCCTCCGCCTACATCTTTATCGAAGCTAGTTTTCCACAAAAAATATGTGATCGAGCTGGTTTAATGTCACCTTTAATTGTAAGGCCAACAACAACGAGTGGAGCACAGTGTTTCTCGTTCTTTTATCACATGTAAGTTATTTAGGGGGAGGTTTTGCTCGGAGAGCTGGGAAACAAACAAAAGTGCCTCCTACCTTTTGTTAAGGGCATCGATTCTACGCCCAATATGAACATTTTTTTAGACATACAGAGCTATTAGTCCCGTACCTAGACTACGACATCTTCCGAACATTTATATTTGTTTTCTCCTATTTTAAATTGGACAGATTCCCGCAATATCTCATTCGACAGAAACACTGCGTCGACTGAAGTACTTTTTGACTCTTCTAAGACCAGTATGAGTCACTTCCATTTCAAAACTTCATATTCTTTTTCGAAAAGTCAAAAGGTACCTCAGCCGACGTAGTTTTTTCTTTCGAAGCGACATTGCGGGCATCTACGCAAGTGGCTAACGGTTCCGAACCTGCGCAAGCCTTGAAACCTCTCTCAACTTGCAGTAAATGTATTTAACTGCACTCGTCGTTTCGTATAGGTACGGAATTAACATTGGCAGTTTACTGATATGGACGATTGAGAATATGACAACATCTGCTGAAGAAACATTGATTTGGCAACAACATGGCGCTCAGGGAAATGAGTGGTTGATCAAACGAATTAACTTGTGGCCAACTGCAGATTATTATTTTAGAATAGATGGCTATGTCGGAGACGGCTTTGAAGGAGGTGAGTGAACAAGACACTGTTGATTCTCTACAGGTGATGATCAGCCCTTATTTTGCTCGACAGATATTGCTGTTGATGAAATAACTCTGTTCGACGGAGAATGCACTGAGGGTACGAACGCAAGTGTGGGTGCTAATTACACTTGTAATTCTACTCCATCATTGTCATCGACGACGATAACAATAACCACAACACCTGCCAGAAACACGAGTACTTCAGCTACAATTCCAGGCCCTCTTCCTTCTTCGCCGTCATCAATGACGACGACCACAACATCTGCTGTCATTTCAACCTTATCTGTCACTACGTCGACAACGACCACAACATCTGCTGTCAGTTCAACCTTATCTGTCACTACGTCGACAACGACCACAACATCTGCTGTCAGTTCAACCTTATTCGTTACCACATCGACGACGACAAATAGCAGCACTTCTACTTCGTCATCGGTAAGCCTAAGTCACCAGACCAGCACCAGCACCATGGCCACCAGCACCAGCAATATACAGCCCATAACCTCCACACCTTCGCAGCCTGCTACCCCAACAAGGACTAGTATGAACAACTGGTTTTCGTCTCTCAAATAACTCATTTTCTCTTTCTCTTTTCTTTATTAAAAACAGCGACGTCTGCAACGACACCACCCAATAACACTGCCTCGTTAAACGTGAGTCTACGGACAGGTAAGCGATACGCCGTAAAGGCAAAACTTTTTACGATTGAAAAATGTCTGTCTTTGACTTTTAGTTCAATTATTCGTCCTTATGGTCATCGCAGGGCTCATGGCTTCGGCTTTCAGTTGATGCAAAAACTTTTCACAGCACACATTACATTTACATGGAGACAAAGACAAAGTACTTATTACGACGACGACAACTGTTCTTCTGTAACAAAAAATATGTCTCTCTGTTGAACTGAAGCAAAAAAGAAATAAAATCTAATAAAAAGTTTGTTTTCTGCAACAAAGTAGTGAACTTTGCATGACAAAAACTGTAACAAAATAGTGTTAGTAGTGTCCAAAGTGTGGTGAGGAAGAGCTTGTGACATGAGAAGTAAGCAATAAGTTGCTGATGTTTCGCACTCCGAAGAGCTGTGTTGAGCAGACGGTACATGCACACCTCTAAATTGTCTCGGAATCTTACCACTAAGTTAACACAACAATAATCGAACAAAAAAGCAAGTTCGTTTAAAATCGCCGACTTCATGAATTTTATATTAAATAGTTTTTCAATTGTTTTCTTTGATAAGAAATCATAGCTTCACTCATTTTAATTAATATATATTTTTAAAACATAGACCTCAGTGTTACTACGGTTAGTGTAATTATACTGAAAGGGACGATTTGTAGTCTCCAACAATTTATATTGAAGCAGCACTTGGGATTCTTTTGAGTCAATTAATTACTATAAACATAATTTCGAAAAGCAATAGTTGATGGCAAGACAGGTAAAGTAAGCAATTAGTCTAAATCTGGAGACTCATTATCTAAGTGTATCTTTCTTATCAATCTCAGGTTTTTCTACTGACGACAATAAAATTAGGATATTGGTTATATATTCCCCATATTATAGCTGCTATGTATGACTGGTGGCAGGTGTGTTTGTTCACAATGTAGTAGTTGATGACTTTTTCTGTGACCTGATTTCAAGCAGAATTAGGTGTGTCTGATGCGCGGAATGCCTGCTGGCTAACGTGTGCAAAATATTATATTTACCGCAGACTTTCGATGGCAAAGCGTTTGGAAATATGTTTGCTTATAATATTCAATGCTTTCTACTATTTTTGATGTTTCTGTCTTTTTCTATTATTTCTTTCACTTCTTGCTTTCATTTCATTTGTTACGTTTGCTTTGATGACCCAAAAAAGATATGAAATGGCGGCATACATTGAAAAGAAATGCACTCACAATATATTTTGCAACAGTATGAAATGAAACAGGAATTTCTTTATATATAAGTAAAACATCGAAATAGCATTGCATTTGCTTAAAAGTTTCTTACAGCCATCTCTTAAAAAAATGTAGGGAGGTGTGCTTTTTCAAATAACGAAAGGTCATAGTTTGCTGGGATTTCGGGCTCTTTTTCTTGATCATTCCTGATTTCCTTCACGATTTGAGCTCATTTTCTGTCTCAACTTCCTCAAACTTAAGAGTCTAAACTTAGATATGTTTGGTCTTTGGTTTCTAACAAGAATTTTGGCAAAAAATTTATTTGAAATTTTGATTTTACATTGAAGTGGTAATAACTTAACTTTTTTAAAAATGAAAAGTAATATTTTTCGAGCGTGAAAACATCATATCAAGGTTTCATATGTTCTATTTTCATAAGTGATTGACCCATAACCAATCAGCTAGGTTCTATCAGTAGAGAGAGTATCAGCCAGGGATCTTCCCACGTAAGTTTAGCGTGGTCGATTACGTATGATCCATGCGATTTGAAGGCTACGCTAAATCACCAAGTAGTCCTTGGAATCCAAGAAAATCCAATAGCACACCCGAACCACTGGAAATAAATGCCTCGCTTGACTGCCGTGTTGAAGAGGGTACTTTGAGTTATCTACGTATGGAAAAAAATCAAAATATAAAAATATAAGTCTTAGCTTTCAATTAGTGAAAACCGGAAGTTCTCTATCAAATGTTATTCAACAAACATTTGAATCCATTCTTTTTCTTACCAAAAATAGAGGACCGTACGAATAAAAAACCAACATATTTGCTAACAAAATTGTAACTCTTATTGGTTGAAAAAAAGGCACCAATGAGAAATAAATTTTAGGCAAAGGGCACGTCGATTATGTCGACACAAAGAATAAGTCAAAATGAAATTAGAAGGAACCAGCTGTCGGATCCACCCGGAAATTTTTCCACTTAATTTCTGTCTAATTTGGTTCAACGCGGTACGAACACCAAATTTTCAAAAGGACATGTGTTATGATGAAAAAATTCTGAGAATTATGTTTCTTATATTTAATGTTAAAATCCATGGGAGATAGCTGCTGATGTACGAAATAAACCCTAGGCAAGATAAATACATTATATCGATACCACTGATTCATTGCATCTTAGTTGATTCAGTTCAGTCCAATACTAGACCTTCTCTGAACGGCAATTTTTCGGCAACGAAATAAAATTTTCCAAAAAAGATATGGTATTCTTTTTCCGAGTTATATGAGGATTATAATTCCACAAAAATTTTTTTATCTGATGACCCATTGAGACTAAATAGGTTTGCAAGATATACAGGGCACTTTCACGGTTTTCCTCGTGTTCCGTGGCTTGCGAGTCCAGTTTAGATTTCAAAGAAGTCAAAGTTAGTTTTCTATTTTCATTTTTAGAAGGAGAATCAGAAAAAAGTGTTTTGGAGTTTTGAAAAAGAATAAAAAGAAAATTTTTGTCTGTTTTTAAAAATTCACACATTTTTGTCTGTTTAGAAAACGAACATTTTAAAATTTTTAACCCAAAAATGACTTCGAAATAATCTTAAATCAAGTTTTTGCTAGCTAACTCGATGAGTTCTATCCAACTAACACAAAAAAGTGGAAAACAAATTTGCACGTGTTTTGAATTTTCGGCATCTTATTGAAAGTTTTGATTTTTTTCGTGTAAAAATTCAGTTTTTGAAGCATAGAAATAGAACGGAGGACAGTCTTACGATGTGTATTTTGTAGTGCTTTTAATTCTCCGCAAGATGAACTTAAATTATAATGGAAAAAATTGTGAGATGGTCAAAATTATGTTGGCTGAGTTACCAACTGTGCCCATTTTTTCAAAATATTTACTATAGTGCTATGTTTGCTTTTTTAGTGATCGCAAATAAAAATAAATATTATATTTTTAAACTGCATTGAAAACGAAGATGAATGATATACGTTCCGCGCATCTTTCTAAATATTTTTTGGATATAAAACTCGATTTCTTTCTTAATTTTTCTGCGATTTTCGCGTTAAATTATGCCGGTTTCAAGCACCATATATTTTTTCTAACCCTCTTAATGAGACGCTTAGGTAAGTCCGAAACCGGCTATATATCAACCATTGAACGATACTAAACGAAAAGTGTTAAATCGCTCGAGAGAACACGAGAGATACATATTACACATGATTCTGTGCTGCACTCAAGAATTTGAAATTTTCTTTTGTATACGACAACCAAAGCAATTTCCGTTCTTATCAAAGGTAACGGTTAAATATCTTCCGTTGGCACCCTTCCAACTCAAAACTCCTCAGTTTTAATTAGGACTAAAGATTAATTTGACATTACTTTCACAATTTTTCTAAATACCTAACCCAGTAATCTCACTGGATCGAAGTTAGTTTTTCTCTGAAAATCTTAATGTTTGTGTAGAAAAATGTTCGTCCAATTTATGGTGCATTATCAACTGTTAAAGTTCTGACAGTCTATGTGTCGTGGGGACAATGATGATTTGTAACTTGTTTCAGTTTACCAAAAGAAACATTTAGTTTTATTTCTTTAGATACAAATTCTTACAGTCGTTTCATAAAACAATTAGTTGAAAGACTTTTTTCTAAAGTAGGTTTTCGGAAGGATCATTGGAAATTCACTTTAAGTTTCCAAAAGGACGGGAAACGGTTTCTGCTAGAAAATCGCCCAATATGATTTTGAGTGGAAATGATCGGAAATGCTTCCCTTTTCACTTCCCAACACTTCCCATTTTCAAAAAAGCCTTCTGGTGTCTTTG